CAGCAGCACCCAAGCTGCTCTGCCCCAGGCGTCCTGATTCAGCCGCTGCTGAAACTGACCAGCAGTGGCTGAATCAGGATGCCTGGGGCAGAGCAGCTGGGTGCTGCCGGGTTGGTCCAGTAGCACCCAGAGCAGCACTACGGGACCAAACGGCAGCGCCCCAGCTTCTGTACCACAGGCGTCCGGAGCAAAGCCGCGGAGCACGGGGGCAGCGGGACAGCCCAGACGCACCGTGGCTGTCCTGCTGCCTGCGTGCTCCGCGGCTTTGCTCCCTGTCTCCCTGGTCTGCTGATCTCCAGCAGACCAGGGAGACGTGGAGCAAACCCCGTTCGTAACTGCGGATCCGACATGAGTTGGATCCGCGTAACTCGGGGACTGCCTGTATTGAAAAACTCAACACAAGGTGAAAATTGAGAAAATGTATTTAGGGTTGAGCCATTTCACACATTCTGCTTGGTTGCATACTTTATGTGGCTCAGTCTGTAAATAAAAATACATTGTGGTATAAATTCATCAATTTTTTTTCTCTTTCAGCCATTTTGTAGTCTGATTCAAATTCATGGACACAATAGGGCTCGCCAGAGAGATAAACTGGGTCATATTCTTGAGGAATTTGCCACTCTGCAGGATGAGGTATTGTACCAGCCCAGAGGCCAGCAGGCTTCATCCTCCTGTGTGTGTTGTTCTTCAATGGAACATCTAGTGTTGGGTTTTCTGTATATGAAAGAAGATTTGTTCCCCATAACCTTTAACGTCCATTTCTTAACCTTAAAATAGTCTTCTTAAGGGATGTGAAATTACATTTAAAATGTTTAACAGTTAACCGGCCTGGCAAATTACACCATGGTGAGGGGTGCAGGGACTGCTCCTGCTGGGCTGGGCACCAGTTAACCAGTTACCTCTTTACATCCCTAGTCTGCTTCTGCTCCCTGTACTAGTTAGAACTGCCAGTGCACATAAAATTAACAACAGAATAGAGAAGCTTGGTTCTGAGCTACTTTAAGCTCAGAGCACATCTTATTTCAAACATGAAATTACATCTGCACAAAATGAATGTATAAAATATTAATTTGAAATATGTATCAGACCAGATTTTTAAGTATAAAATATATCCAACTTACATTTACATTCCTGTCATCCAGTATTAAAGAACTTGTTCTCAATACATCTATGAAACGGTTTCGAAATTGAGAATGATTGACCACAGTGGGAGGTTGCATTTCACTTGTAGGAGATTGGTCTGTTTTTTTAAGAGTTAATGAAAAACACTACTTCTCAGGCTTTACATGTTAAGGGAGAGAGAAAAGGAGTGTGGAATGGGAAAAAATTGTTTTTGCCTTTGTGGTGGGTCAGTGTTTCATGGGGATGCTTAGTAGAGGGGTTTGTCAGTATTACTCTTGAAGTGTCTCTTCCTGAGTAAATTGTTGTTGTTTAGGACTACGGAGACTCTTTCAATTGCAATATTTCATGATAAAAAAAATGAAATTCTTCAGACATTTGCCTAAAATAAAAACAATCATCTTTACTTTGATGATATTTTACATGCTGTTTGTCATCAGGAGCGATATTCTAGTGATTTTTACAACTTAATACTGTGGAAGTTCCAAAAATATTTTCAATTATCTGTATGGCATTGAAACCATAACAATCTGTTGCTCCTGGTTTTTCGTTTGCATGTGGTATGTGGCTGTAATACTCATACAGGTTTGCCAACCATTAGTAAATTTGCCTATTTAGTAATTAAAATGGTCAGTAAAATCAAATCATTTGTCAGTAAATAAGCAGTACAGAAAATTTTTTTATTTCTTCTACTCCAGGCAATGAGTAAATAATGCACAACACAGATTTATGTGCTTTTTGGACTGCAGAAGTCACAGATTTTGTGCAAACTGATTTATCTTGTTTACATGTAATAAGGATTTATTTGACTATATTTTCATTCTAAACTAATTGTGGCAAGACCATGGATATTGTTTCATCAGTATGTTCTCACTTTACTATAGCTTTGCTATTTTTAATTACAGTTTGCTGTGTCTTTTTCTGGTAGGCAGAGAAAGTAGATGCAGCACTTCACAGTATGCTGCTGAAACAAGAGCCCCAAAGGCAACATCTGGCTTGTTTGGGCACCTGGGTCCTCTATCATAATCTCCGCATCATGATACAGTATCTTCTGAGTGGCTTTGAATTGGAACTTTACAGTATGCATGAATATTATTACATATATTGGTAAGAGTATACATTATTGAAAGCTTGGGGGGAGGGGGAAAGGGGAATGATCCCACAGCGACCAGCATATAAGTGAATAGGACAATGCTAAACCAATGTTTAAACTGGGAATTAGAACAATTCTCACATCCCAAACTGACTGCACAAAATACTTACTATCACTGCATCTTAAAAATAAGAGATGGGGGGGACCCCTATTGGGCCATCTTGTCTCTTCTACCATATTTGTTCTCTCCAGTGTATTCACTTTTTCACCATCCACATGACTAGCTTATTCCAATAGAACAGTGGTTCCCAACTTTTTTTTTATACTGCAGACCAGCAAACTCATTCACAAACTTTTGGTGGACCGGTAATATTGTATTTGATATTCATTATGCAACTGAAACATTATCAGTGCACCGAAAGCCCTCCAGAGTCGCCATGAAGATCTGGCTTCAACTTCGACAACCCCCACCACCACCACCACCAGTGCCAGCCCCTAGTCCCCAATATTAGCCCCATCCCCAGAGCCTCCCAGTGCCAGCCTCCCTCCCCACTACTAGCCCTGCCTCCAAAGCCTCCAATGCCAGCTCCCCACTCCACACCTCAATGCCCTCCAGTATCAGCCTCTTAGGGTACGTCTAGACTACATGCCTCTGTCGCCAGAGGCATGTAGATTAGGCTACCAGACATAGTAAAATGAAGCGGCGATTTAAATAATGGCAAACCATACATAAGGTGTTAGCCAAAACTCACAGCATGCAAAAGAAGCCTTCTCATAGACTTCAAAGGGCTTTGGAGATTGTGAAACAAATCCAATACTGGACTCAGGGTACGTCTAGACTACATGCTCAGCGCGGCAGCCATGTAAATTTAAATGAAGCGGCGATTATTTAAATCGCCGCTTCATTTTACTATGTCTGGTAGCCTAATCTACATGCCTCTGGCGACAGAGGCATGTAGTCTAGACGTACCCTTAGAGCTCCCCATGCCTTAAGACCACCCACAATTCAGCAGCCCTAGGGCTGGGCACAGAGAGCTAAGAGAGGGGAAGGAGGCTGCTTGGAGTGACCACACACAGGGACTTCAGTGGAAAGTGGCAGGCACTGGCATGTCCGGGCAGTTGCACAGGGATTAATAGTTTGGCGTTTGTGCAGCAATAATTTTTGATTGGGGGCACTCCCAAGAATTTGATAAGTGGTCAAAGGCCGCATTCTTCCCTTATATTAATGGAGGAGATGCGGGGTCTGGGATGGAAGTTGGGTGCAGAAGGGAGCTTGGGATAGGAGATTGCGGTGCAGGAGGGGATGTGGGATCTGGGAAGGAGTTTGGGTGCATGTGGGAATAGTGACCTTGGGCAGGAAATTGGAGTAGAGGAGGGGGTATAGGCTCAGGCAGGATTCTAACCTGGAGGTGGTGTGTAGGAGGAGTGCAGAGTCTTGGAGGGAGTGGTGATGTGGGACAGGGGTGCAGGGTTTGGGTTGTGACCTAGGATAAAGGAGGGGGTTTTAACCTGGGGCAAGGGATTGGGGAGAAGGGTCTGGGAAGGGGGTATGGGTGCAGGAGAAGATTCTGACTTGAAGGAGGAGTATATGAGGGGGTGCAGCATCCAGGAGAGGGTTGTAACCTGGGGCAGAGGTGCTGGAGGGGATGTAAGGGTTTGGATTGTTACCTGGGGCAAGGGATTGGGGGGAAGAGTATAGGTGCAGGAGAATGGTGAAGAAGGTTTGTGTTGTGACCTGGGGTAGGAGTGCAGGGGACAGAGTAGAGGTTTGCGGGGGGCAACAAGGGGCTGGGGTGACAGAGGATGGCTTTGGCAAGGAGGTGTTCAGCTAGGTGGGTCCTGGCCAGCAGCCCAATAGGGCTCTTGGGCAGGGTCTCTGCCCTACACACACACTTCAGAGTGGCTAGCTATGGGGCCCATGTGTTCTCTGCACATTATGCACTTCAAAGATTGTGCTGGAGGTGGTGGCAGCACCTGAAGACTCCCCTGCATCTCCCCAGCACTCAGCATGCTGAGAACACATGGCCTCCTCAGCTGGCTGCTTTTGAGCGGAGTGCGGAGCATGGAAGATAGGGAGCCAGCCAGAGGATCCCACTGTGCTGCAGGCAGACTAGATCTAAACCCATGGGCCATATTTTGCCCACCCCTGTTTTAATGCTATTTTTTAACTCAGTTGAAAATTAATTCTAATGTAGAATACATAATGTGCTGTTACTCTTCAATACTACTTGCATCGGTAAGGGAAAGTCAAATCCACTACATCACTGTTTAAAATAAAGTTGCATTAGGAAAAGAGATTATAAATTACTATTCTCGTGTTAAAGAAAATGTATGACTGGATCAGACCAGTCATCCATCAAGCTTAATGTCTTGTCTTTTGACAATGGCCAGAGCCAGACCCTTGAGAGAGAATGAACAGAACAGGGCAATTTTTAGTGATTCATCCCCTGTTGGACAGTTGGAGGTTTAGGGATACCTGAAAAATGGGGTAGCATTCCTGGCCTCTTGATTAATAGTCATTGATAGACCTATGTTCCATGAATTTATCTAATCCTTTTTTGTACCCAGTTATATCTTTTTGTCCTTCACTGTATCCTCTGGCAACAAGTTTCATAGGTTGTGCATTGTGTTAAGCCCTCCTTTGCATTCTTGCTGCCTGCTAAGTACATTGGGTAGCATGTATTTCTTGTGTTATGTGAAGGGTTAAAAAAATACTTCCCTATTCACTTTTTTCCATATCATTCATGATTTTATAGATCTATCATGTCCCTGCTCTTAGTCATCTTTTTCTAAGCTATCCAGTCCTAGTATCTTTTCTTTTCTTGTATGGAAGCTGTTTCGTGCTCTTAAATCATTTACATTGCCCATCTCTGTACCTTTTCAAGAAGCTATGTTGAGATGGAGCAACCAGATATGAATGAAGTATTTGAGATGTGGGTGTGCTTTGGATTTATTTAGTCCATTATGATAGTTTCTGTTGTTATTATCAATCCCTTTTCTAAAGGTTCTTAACATTGTCAGCTTTTTTGATTGCCACTGCACATTGAGCAAAAGTTTAAGAGAACTAGCCATGATGACTTCAAGGTATTTTTGGGTAGTTTGTTAATTTAGATCCCATTATATTGTGTTCACAGTTGAGATTTTCTCCAATGTGCATTATTTTTCACTTATCAACATTGAATTTCATCTGCCATTTTGTTGCCAGCCCGCTTAGTGAAACCTCTTTGTAACTCTTCACAATCAGTTTGGACTTCGCTATCTTGAGTAAATTTGTGTCATCTGCACATTTTGTCTTTTCACTGTTCTTCAGCCCCTTTTCCAGATATTACAGATTCCAGATCTTACTTAGAGTGTGAAACAGTCATTAATTTTATAACTTTATGATTCTTGTCTATGAATTTGGCTACTACTATAGTAAGGGCAATCAAACTGGTTCCATGTTGGCATACTTTCAAACTAAGGCATTTGAAGAAAACATGACAGTAACTAACAAATTTGTTTATTTTTTTGTTAGATTTTTCTTTAAGGCCATTACATTGTCTAGTCTGACTGACTGTGTATAAGGGTAGTACAGTCTACCAATTTACTCCTGTACTGAGCCCACAGCTTGTGTTTGGCTAAAGTATATCTTCCAGATGGGCTTCCATTCTTGATTGGAAGATAGATTTCACTAGATGGAGATGCCATTACTTCCCTTAGTAGTTTGTTCCAATGGTTAATCACCCTTACTGTTAAAAAGATATGCCTTATTTCTCATCTGAATATGTTTGGCTTTAACTTGCAGTCACTGGTTCTTGTTATGCCTTTCTTTGCGAGATTAAAACCTTGTAATGCCTAGAATTTTATCCCCACTAAGGTACTTTCACATTCACTTTCAGTTGTCTTGGTGATAAGCTAAATGGATTGTGCTATCTCTTTTTAATTGAAGTATAGTAGCAATTAATTTTTAGTAATGCTTCTACATTATTTTATCAGTGCCCTGAATATAAGGAAAAATATAACACTGAAAATTTGTTAACATTGCCATCTTGTGGCAATTATGATTAGTATCTATTTGCAGCTTGGTCTTCTTTCCCCTGCTTTGAATGACTGTACATATTATCTTGGTTAAACTACAGCACTAAATAGTATAGTTTGATCTTTCCACTTAATCTTTTAAGTAAAGAACAAAAACATTCTTGTTGAAGAAAATAATCCTCAATTGAAGCTTTCATAAGAATTCTGTTAAGAATACTTTTGTGGACTGAACTATTAATTTTTTGAAGCCTTATGTTGGTGGTTCTTCATGCTCTGCTCTCCTAGACTAGTTCCCCCCACCTCCATCTTTGCTATTCTCTTGCAGAATTCTGTGTGTGATCGTTCAATATTAATTCATTCCTGTGTTTCCTTAAAGTGATAATCCACGATTTTACTTATTAAAAACTGTAATGCTTCAAGTATATCAATATTAACTGTGCATCCTAATGCAGGTATTTCATAAAACTAAAAAGTTGGCATTTGAAACCTTGTCAATATTTTTTAAAAGTATTAGTTTAAAAAAATTAAAAGGGGTTGCTTTAAAATGCTTTGTCCCTGTAATTTAATATGTTCCATTCCTAAACTCTTGGATTATTTATTGGCCTGAAATCTTCTTAAAGATTTTTTAAATGTTTAAAAATCCTGTAACTGAATACTTCATTGATTTAAACTAGGGATGTTAAAATGCATTTAATTTTGTAAACATGTAACCGTTTAAATTTGCAGCAGTTACACATTTACATGTGTGGGGCTAAGTAGGAGCTTGTGCTAGTGGGGGCCAGTTTTAGAACCAGCTTTTCATGAGCACTGGCTCCCACCTGCCTCTGTATCAGAGATAGCAGCATGGAAGCTGGTACTCACCTGCTTCCGCCATGCTGCTGCCGCTGGGAGGCAGCGGTGGGGGAAGAGGCAGGCAGCTCCATGGGAGCTGGCACATGCAAGGAGCCCCCACCTGTATCAGAGGCAGTGGGGCACGGGTGGAGAGCAGCTGGCTCCAGGGCTGGCACATGAGGGGAGCAGGCTTAAAAGTTGGCTCCCTGTGAGCAGTGGCTCCAACCTGCCCCACCCCCACCCTCTGTGCAGGTAGGGGGTGGGGCGCTCCACAGGAGCCAGCATGCACAGAGAGCTGGCTTAAAAGCCAGCTCCCCATGCACACTGGCTCCTGCCTCCACTCTGCCTTTGATACTTCGCTGAATTGTTTAAATGGGTACACGTTCACAACCCTAATTTAAACTCGCAAAAGAACAAAAGCAGTTTTATACCATTATTAAGCTTTCTGGAGTTGTGAAATTTTTTTTCAGCTAGTCTAAAAAATCTGTTTGTGTAGCAGTCTGTTTCCTTCATGAAAGAAAATGCACGTGCTCTTATTATACATTATAGTTTTGCTGTGTTAGATGTAATAGCTGTAGGTATCTGTCTCAATTTACTGTAGGTATCTTTCTGAATTTCTCTATGCCTGGCTGATGTCAACACTGAGTCGTGCTGATAGCTCTCAAATGGCAGAAGAGAGAATAATGGAAGAGCAGCAGAAAGGCCGTAGTAGTAAGAAAACAAAGAAAAAGAAAAAAGGTATAATTGGTACACTGGCATTATACCCGTGTAACTTCACTGACCTCAAGTGGTATGTCTATACTGCAGTTTAAGCCAAGGATTAGTGGGATTCAGGTCAGATGACCCATGTTAGGGAACCCTAGGTTTGAGCCTCTGCATTGCGTTTTAACCCAGCGTAGGTACTTTAACTTATGCTTAAACACAGGGTTTTTGTGTTTGCGTTGCAGTGTGTAGACCCCTGTCAAAGTAACCCTATCCTGGAGGCTCTAGCTCCGTACCCTTCCCCAAATGTGGCTGCTCTATCCTTAGGAAGATGGTGCTCTGTGGGAAAACTTCACAGTCTGCCCTGCATGTTACCATGAATTAGCTCCATTTGCAAAAGGCCTGATTATTTCACTTTCCATTGCAAACTCAGGAAGCTGTCTGACAAATTGGTGATCAGAAGAAAATGGGTTAATACTGCTCTGAGCTTCTGCCTTTCACAGAGGGGAAATGGCTTCTGTTTTCAATAGAGTGGATTGCAAATTATTGGGCTAGAGAGAGCTAAGGAAGTTGTCCCCTCCCCTCAAATTCTGTGATACTTCTGGCTGACCCTAGGATCTGAATTAAGTAGGGCTACATCCACATTTGCAAAGCAGTAGGCCTTGGATTCTGTCCCCCAACTTAATTCAAGCTCAGACCCTCCAACACTGTAATTGGGAGGTTAGAGTTTTGTCCTTACTTTTTTCTGTTGGGGGAGAAAAACCAGGTTAATTGCCTGGGACTGAACATGAAACTAGTTTATTATTAATGGAATACAGTTTAATCCATAATCAGTTCTTCCTAGCTCTTTGTAAACTGATCTTCTCTTTAGGAAAACAAATTACCTGTCTCTCTCCTTCAACTCTTTCATGTTAGCAGCATACTGTGAGAGAAATGTTAATGACTGTTGCTCCACTCTTCCAGGGGAGCATGCCATGCTTTGGGAAACACTGTCCTACAAGAAAGTATAGCTTTGCAAAGGCAACATTTGTCTGAGTGGAAGGTGGAATACGTACTGTCAGCTCAAATGTTTATTACATTCCTAATAAGTTCTATAGGTTTCAGTTCAGCAAGGTACGTAAGCAACTTAACTTCAAGAATGTAAATTGTCCCCTTGAAGTCTAGGGATTACTCATGAATAAAAGTTAAGCATGTAATTAAGTACTTTGCTAAACTGGGGATCAAATAAACATACTTGTATGTCTTAATTTAAAAGGAAAGTTTCTAAGTTCTAGAGAAGATGACAGGAAAACCATGTGATATTGGTAATTAATGATTTTAATGAACAAATATTTGCAAAAAAAAAGTTTGCCTCCATTTGTTCTGTATCATTATTTTGAGTGAAAAATCTTTTTATATGGAATTTACAGTTCGGCCTCTGAGCAGAGAGATCACCATGAGCCAAGCGTATCAGAATATGTGTGCTGGGATGTACAAGGTAACTTTTTGCTGAATGCACAGTATACATAGAATTCAGTGTTGTGATATGACGGTGTTAAACATTAATCTCTCCCCACCCTTTTTCATAATTTGTTTCCATTCTGTTTTTGGCATGTCAACCTCTTCTAAATATGAATATGAGTAAGACTGAATGGTCTGTGCCAAAGCCAATATCTTTAGGCACTGGAACTTGTTTATAGTGCCCTCCCCTATCACCAAACCACTTTGGATGCCAAAAACTATAAATGTTACTAGCTGAAATATAATAAAACGAACACTGAAAGTATGTTTAAAATGGAAATATCTATTGTTAGGGCCGCTATCAAATTCATGGCCATGAAAAATGCATCACAGACCATGAAATCTGATTTCCCTACTGAAATCTGTTCTTTTGTGTGCTTTTACCCTATACTATACAGATTTCACAAGGGAGACCAGCATTTCTCAAACTGGGAGACCGGAGACAAGAGTGTTTCGGGGGGGTGTCACAAGGTTATTTTAAGGGGTTGTAGTATTGCCACCCTTCTGCATTGACTCCAGAGCTATGCAGTTGGAGAGCGGTGGCTGTTTGCTTGGTGCCCAGTTCTGAAGGCAGTAACACAGAAGTAAAGATGGCAATACCATAAAATGCCATTCTTTCTTCTATGTTGCTGCTGGTAACTGCTCTGCCTTCAGAGCTGGGCTGCTGGCTAGGAGCTGCTGCTCTCCAGCTGCTCAGCTCTGAAAGCAGCTCCGTCACCAGCAGCAATACAGAAATAAGGGTAGCAGTACCATAACCTTCCCTACAATAAGCTCATGGATCCTCTCCCCCAGCTCCTTTGTGGGTCAGGAGCCCTATAATTACAACACTGACATTTCATATTTAAATAGCTGAAATAACGAAATTTATCATTTTTAAAATCCTAAAAAAGACTGAGTTTATTTATGACTGGTAGGGCCATAAATATAGTGATAAAAGAAATGGAATGCTGATTCCTTAGCCTCCCCTTCTCTTCCCTCTGACAAGTGAGTAGGATGAAATATTAGCTGACCAACGGAGGTGCTTCAGATGTGATTTGATCTCTGAGTAGTCTCTGTCATGAATCACTCCACCCTCTCTCTCTAACAAAAGATTTAAGAGGAGGAGTTACCTTTCTAACAATTTCCTTGACTTCTTTGGTCCATTGTAAAGCACATATAAATAGTCTATTTTCTGGGCAGACAAATAGAGAAGAGTAAAATCCAGAGTCTGGAGAAATACAGACACCTTTTTGCCTCAGATACCTGGAAAAGTAGTTCAGAATGACATTTTCCCCACCATTCCTGGGTGTACCATTGTACATTTCAAGATGCAATAATGCTTGTGTGTTGTGACAAAATGCTGAAGTTTTTCACTCTGGTCTTTTACTTTCCTTCACCACCGCCTCTTTAGACGATGATAGCTTTTGACATGGATGGCAAAGTCAGAAAACCCAAATTTGAACTTGATAGTGAGCAAGTTCGATATGAGCACAGGTTTGCTCCATTCAACAGTGTCATCACGCCACCACCAGTGCACTATCTGCAATTCAAGGTGAATTCTTTTCAGACAGTCTTGACATTTAAGATTCAACTCTGCCCTTCAATGTTTGTATGTTCCTTGTAAAATGAGGTCCTGCATGCACACATGGAAGTTTCTGAATGTGTTGAAAGATAGTATCTTGCCTTTAATCTGTTGACTTTGATCTTTATCTGCTTAGGTTTAAGTACCCATTCTCCAGATACTTAATGATGCCCCCTTCCCCTCTCCTATTTATTTCCAGTTTTCATATCCCCTACTCATAATTCCAGTCATCTGAAGAAGTGGGCTGTGCCCACAAAAGCTCATGATACCATATATACGTTTTGTTAGTCTATAAAGTGCTATCAGACCATTTGTTGTTTTTTTCATTTTTTAAGTTATTTAAGCAATGCAGAGGATGACAAGAGGCTGTTCACTGTATTTGCAGTAAGAAAAAATGAATTGAACTTTTCTAAAATTGGACTTTTAACTATTCTTGTCAATCTTGTTGCTGTGTTTTTTGTAACGTATGCATTTGTGTGAAAAGGATATCAAATTTGATACACACTCAGCTACAATAATAAACATTTAGAAAAGGTGGCTGTTTGACAGACAAAAGGTTAATACTGTTGCAGCAAGCAAGGTATGTTAAACAAATGACATCAATTTTGCGTGTAAAATGAACATTTATCATGCAAATCAAGCTATCTTTGCTTTGTGTATGTCAACAAGGCTGTATCCTTTTACGCATCTTAAGAATTATTCCATTTTTTGTTTTAAGGAAGAGTAACTTAAAAAAAAAAACTTGTCCAGCCTGCTATACACAAGTCTGTGCTAAATAACCACCTAATTTTATTGCTCTTCCCTGTCCCATCTTTCGTTCTCAGTTACTTCCCACTAATTTGCTGCATACTTCACCACATCACTTCCTCAAATAAACTGCAAATTCTCCAGAGGCAGGGATCATGTCATTTATTTGTGCTATGAGATGCTATATGATATTAAACTATTTTAGTAAAGCTTACAATACATGTGATTTAACTGGTTAAAGCAAATACTGATTTGACCTCTGCTATTTAGTAGTGGTAATATTTTAACCAGTAACTAACTCAGTTTGACTTTAGGAAAAATTGGTTTTCATTAAATACTGTAATTGGTTTGATCCCAGTCAAAAGCAATATAGAAAAGTTTGTGCTGTTAACTATTCATTTTAATATATATATATTTTGTAACATTTAGGAAATGTCTGACCTAAATAAATACAGCCCCCCTCCACAGTCCTCTGATCTCTATATGGCAGCTAGCAAACACTTCCAGCAGGCTAAAATGATATTGGAGAATATTCCTAATCCAGATCATGAGGTAAGGCTGAACTGAAATGTAAATAAATAGAAGCAGGAGCTCTTGTTCAGAGTGCCTTATTGGTTTTGTCATTGCTTTATGAATTAAAATGTATTAGAAAATCATAATTTAATTATTAAAGTGTTCAGGTATTTAATTTAAAATTCTCAGCTTCCCACATTGAACTGCCTACTGTAAATCATGGTATATAAGAACAGCATTTTGGTAGGGAAGGAATCATTTATATCCTGAAGCAAAAAGTCAATCCCTAACAAATAACCCTTTGAAATCTGCAGAGGTTTGACAATCATAAGAATGAATATGAAATACCATGTTTTAAAATAGTTGCCCAATCAAGCTGGTTAAATATAATTGATATATTTGTAAATTTAGTACAAATTGCTTTAACCTCTTTTAAAATGGGATTGATATTCCAGTCAAACTATTATATTATGGATTTTTTTTCTTGGCTATAAATTGTCACTTAAAAATGTATTACTACTCTGTAGGTCAACCGAATTCTAAAAGTTGCTAAACCCAACATTGTTGTCATGAAGCTGCTCGCAGGAGGTCACAAGAAGGATTCTAAGGTAAGAAAATCACAATTAAATTGAATTTTCTGTCTTTATTGAATAACACAGGTCAACACTTCCCTATATGCCACCTACCTAATAGTTGAATGCACAGGTTCAGTTAACTATTCTTAAGCCTTAGAGCAGTGGTTCTCAGACTGTGGGTCTGCAGCCACCTTCCAGGTGGTTCGTGGCTGGAGTTCACCCCTCCCCCCCCCACCCGCAGCAGGGAGCCCATGCTGGTTCTGTAGCCTCCCTGCCTTTCCCCACAAGGTTCATGTGCCAGTGCTGTCTCCCCTCTGGGGGCAGGAGAAAGCCCTGAGACACGTGGGATGGATCCAACTCGCAGGGAAGAAGTGGAGCCAGAAGCGGCTCTGCACACTGCTGCTCCCCATGTCCTAGCTCAGGGAAGCAGCATGCAGATGAGCTGCCTGGAGGCTTTCCCCACTGCTCTGATTGGCTTGAATTTGGCCAATGGGAGCAGCATGAGGCCTTGCCTGAGAGTGGTGAAGGCAAGTGAGTGCCCCTCTCCCCCACTCCTTCATGCCCAGACTCTGTACCCCAAGCCCCTCACGCATCCTCCCCCTGCCAAGATCCCACCCCCCCAGCCTACTCCTGCACCCTACCTCCCTGGTCAGACTTGCACCCTCACCCCCTCCTGCATCCCCATCCTTGATCCCACTTGCTGGCAGTCTTGTCGCACATGCTGAATCCCTCATTTTTGTCCCACCCCAGAGCCTAGGAGAGTCCACAAAATCCACTAACCCCGGAATCCCAAAAGAGTAAATCTGATCTATGGGAAGCTCTGAACCTCAGTCCTCCCTGTACCTCCCCCTCCCGCCGTGCGACTGGCGCACCAGAGGAGTAAGATGTCTCAATTTGGGGTCACAGCAGCGATGGTTGGGGATTTTTTTGCTTCTCATGTGTGGTCCCTGACCCAAACAGGTTTCCCACCCCTGCCATAAATAAGGAAAACATTGAAATCTTGTGTTGAACATAAATTAATATTTTACTTTATTTAAAATGAAGTTTGATAAACTAACATGACAAAATTAAAGCATTTAATCTGCTTAATAAATTAAATTCCCCCTAGTTGCAGCATTAGCAAAATGGCTTGGAGGGAATTATGTATTGTGAGTTAACTGGTAGTCCACAGAAAGATCTGTATTGAGCTAGATGGGCCACAAGCCAAAAAGTTTGAGGACCACTACCTTAGAGGGAATACAAATCTGGGAAACATTTCAATCAATGTCCCTAGAAACATGTTGTGAAGCTGTCACTTAGTTAAAAATTTGTTATGCCCTCAAATGTTAGAACGCTGGGAGGGAAATTAGCTGGGAAGCTACACTTAGAATGTAAATAGCATTTACAAACAGGAGGTATAATGTGGGGGAAGATGAGGCTAATGATGGAAGCCAGAACAGATATGTATGGATAGAATTAGACATGAAGAGGAAGGAGAGAAATGAGAGCAATTGGTAGCAGAGAGTCCAAGAGAGTACAAGTTAGCAGTAGAAGGGTTCGGGATTGATGAGAAGTAGCAGGAGGTGCTGGATGGAAACAGAAGAAATTAGCCAAGGCTGGGGCAGGTAGTGGGTGAGGTGGAGAGTAAAGAGCATTGATGAAGCAGGAGAAGTATCCAGAATGTAGAAGCAGAAGTATGGGGAATACATATTTTGAGCAGGGGGTAAGTGGATGAGAAATAAGGTGTTAACAAAATTAACTAATAATTAGCTTTGCTTCTCTTTCCAAATAATTATATTTCAGAAAATCCTTTTTTAAAATAAATGCCTTGCCTTTTCAATACTCACGTGCATGGCTCCAATATAGTATGAGGTCTTAAGTTTCAATGAGATTTTAATTTTTCCGTCCACCTCCTTATTTTGTACCATTCTCCCCCCACCAAGTTGGTACCAACTCAATCATAGTGCATGCTCTGAGAGGGCTGATGGCTTCCTCAAATAGCAGAGTCCCTCTTTGCCCCTCACTAGCGATGACTAGTCTTTCAGAGACTTTTCCATAACTCATTAGCTTTTGATGTGATTTTTTTAAAGTTGATTTTTAGCTGAAGGGATTTTCTTGGTTTCTTGATAGTGTAAAGCTTAAAACATTATCAAAGAAAGCAACACTGGTGTTCTCTTCCAAGAGACACATGCCATGAATTACTCTTCTTGGGTCATATAATCACTAGTGGTGCATGTCAGAATAATCTTTTATAACTCTCTTCCTCTAGGTTCCTCCAGAATTTGACTTCTCTCCTCACAAATATTTCCCAGTTGTGAAGCTTGTTTGAAAGACAAGAGATGATAATTAGGATACCCTAAACCACAATCTGTATATCAGATACCTGATTTGAAATGGAACATTTCATACTGTACCCAGAAGTGAAATGGATTTCACGGATAAAAGTACCATTGTATGGAGTATCTTTAGTCTGACTTCCTTACATGACCTGAATGACAACTGCTGTTTTAAAGTGGTTTGTATAATGTTCTATGAGTGAAGCTGTTTTTAATCAACTGCATTGCTTAACAGCACTGTACCTTATTTGGTTTTATTACAGATTTAATCATAAATCATTTTTATGAATTCTGACTGACAATAGTTTTTGTAAGGATTTAATAACTCATGGATGAATGTACAGTACAGTAGAGCTTGTCTGATAGGCACAGTTACGTTAAAGTGAAATTCTTTCAAGGACTCATTGAAAATAGCATTATACAATCATTGAAGTATAGGACTAGAAGGGGTCTCAAGAGGTAGTCTAGTCCAGTCTCCTTCTCCTCAAGGAAAACTATCTAGTTTGACTAACTTGTTCAAATATGGGGATTCCACAGCCTCCCTAAGCAGTTTATTCCAGTGCTTAACTACCTTGACAGTTGGGAAGCTTTCCCTCATACCCAGCCTAAATATCTCTTAACAGCCATTTAGGCCCACTGCTTCTTTTTCTATCCTCAGAGGTTAATGGTAAGTTTTTACCCTTTTCCTGTTAACAAATCTATACACTTGAAAATGGTTGTCATTTCCCCCTTCACACACTTTTCTCCAGTCTTCATAGGTAATGTGTTTCAGACCTTTAATAATTTTTGTTGCTCGTTTCTGAACTTTGAATTTTTTCCACACTACAATTGAGGCCTTATAAGCACAGAGTAGAGTGAAAATTTACTACTACTGCTAATACATCCCCAAGTGTTTGGGTTTATTTGTTTTGATAAGAGTGTTATCCAATTGACTTATTTAGCTTGAATCCCCACTATAGCCGTCGGTCTCTTTCTGCAGTATTCTTTCTACACCGTCATTTCCCATTTGACATCTGTGCAGTTGATTGTTCCTCCTTAAATTGAGTGCTTCGCATTTGACTTCACAGAATTACATCCTACTTACTTCAGATAACTTTGAATTTTAATCCTATCCTCCAAAGCACTTGCAGCCCCTCCCAGCTTCATAGAATGCTAGAATTAGAAGGCACCTCTAGAGGTCATCAAGTTCAATCCCCTGTGCTCAGGGCATGACCAAGCACCATCTAGATCATCCCTGACAGATGCCTATCTAGCCTACTCTCAAATATCTCTAGGGATGGAGATTCCACAAGCTCCCGAGGTAATTTATTCCAGTGTTTACCACCCTGACAGTTAAGAAGTTTTTCCTAATGTCCAACCCAAACCACCGTTGCTGCAATTTAAGCCAATCGCTGTTTGTCCTATCATCAGAGGTCAAGGAGAACAACTTTTCTCCCTCCTACTTGTTAACAACCTTTTAGGTACTTGAAAACTGCTATCATGTTCCCTCTGTCTTCTCTTGTCTATACTAAACAAGCCCAGTTCTTTTAGTCTTCTCTCATAAGTCATGTTTTCTAGACCTTTAATGATTCTTGTTGCTTTTCTCTGGATCTTCTTCAGTTTCTCCACATCTTTCTTGAAATGTGATGCCCAGAACTGGACACAATACTCCAATTAAGACCTAATCATTTCAGAATAGATTAGGAAGAGTGACTTGTGTCTGGTTCACAGTACTGTTAATGCATCCCAGAATCATGTTTTTTTGCAAGTGTCACACTGACTCTCATTTAGCTTATGGTCAACTATGACTCCCAGATCTCTTTCTGAAGTACTCCTCCCTAGACTGTCACTTCCCATTGCTGTTATTCACAAATTTTAAGAGTTTTCGCTATGCCATTATCTAAATCATTTACGAACATTGGAACAGAACTGGACCCAAGACTGAAACCTGCAGAGGTCTCGCCCCCCCTCCTTCCAGCTTGCCACTGAACCACTATTAACTGTTTGGAAAACCAGTCCCAAAGAGTAATTATGCACCCACCATATAGTAGCACCATCTAGGTTCTATTTCCTGAGTTTGTTTGAGATGATTATGCAAGATAATATCATAAGCATTTCTAAAGTCAAGCTAGAGCAACTACCACTCTTCCCCAGACACAACCTTTGTTAACCCTTCAAAGAAAGTTATATAGGTTTGTCACTTTTTTTGACAAATCCATTCTGATTGTCACTTATCACCATATTATCTTTTAGGGCTTGCAAACTAATTGTGCCATTTTCTTAGCTTGGTACTATATTTGCCCTCTTCTAGTCCTCAGGAATCTGTCCTGTCTTCCATGAGTTTTTGATTATGATCACTAGTGGCTCATATCTCCTCAGTTCATTCTTGGAGTATTTTACGATGTGTTTTATTGGGTCCTGGTAACTCAAGACATAACTTCTTTTCCTCCTTTAGCTGCAGGTTCTCTATCATTTTCACCGGTGTTCACTGTTAGATGTTTAATATTTACTAACCTTTTAGTGAAAACTGAAAAACAGTACTACTGCTATTTCCATTTTGCGCTAGTGTCTTTGTCCCCCTCATTAACCTTTAAAATGGGTCTGTCTGGTCCTTGGTTGTCATCTTGCTTCTAAAGTATTTGAATGTTTTCCTGTTCCCCCTTGTCTCTTGCTAGTTTAAGCTCATTTTGTGCCTTGGCCATTCTGATTTTGTCTCTCAATTCTTGTGGTGGTGGTTTATATTAATCCTTTGTAATCTGATATAGTTTCAAATCATTGAAGATTTTTCTGGTTAATTCAGGGGAGTGTCTTGCCATATTTCTTATCTTTGTTGGGCAGTGATAATTTGCTTTTGTACTCTTAATAATGTCTCCCTAACATTGAGCTGTTTTCCCCTTTAGATTTTCTTTTCATGGGATCTTACCTATCAGCTCACAGAGTTTGCTGAAGTCTGCCACCTTGAAATCCATTCTCTTCATTGGGCAGTTTCCCTCTTACCATTTCTTAGACTAATTTGTCTTTTTATGATCACTTTCACTGAAGCTATCTTCCACTTCAAAATTCTCAACCAGTTCCTCCCTGTTTGTTACAATCAAGTCTAAAACATCTTCTCCCTTAATTGTTGCATTCCAGTGCATTCCAAAAATGTGTTGGATAATCTGTGCCTTATAGTAATATTTTCCCAACAGCTGTCACTATAGTCCAGTGTTTGGGATGCTTTTGTTAGTCTCATCTACCTTTTCTAATTAGGTGGTGTATAATAGATCAGTGTTCTCAACCTTTTTTTATAAAGTACCCCCAGTACCTACAGTTTTCAGACACACAATTTTTTGCTACCATTGCAACACATTTGTTTAAATAACTTAATCATAGCCGGGCGGGCAATGAAATTTTTTGATGTAAAAAGTACAAAAATAATAAAATGCGATAAAACTTAAAACAAAATTCAGTAGTTGATGTACCCCCCAGACTTCTCTGTTTCTCAGTAAAGCCAAGATGTAACAAAAGGGAGAAGGGAAAATCTCATTAAGGAATTTCCCGTAGACAGATTGTGTTACTGTCAGAACAAAGACTTTCAAGGGGCTAATTGTTCAAACTAACTCCACAGCAGTAGCTTTAATCAATATTTGCACATGAGAAAGTATGGTATCCAAACACCTTACAGCAGTACATTTATCCACCATCCAGTCTAATCATTACTCATCTCTGCCCTTCCTTCTGAGCAAGAGGAGTGTATAGTGAATTGTTTATCAGAGCAGTTAGTTGAGTCATGTTCTAAACCTGATGAAATTTGTCTTTTGAAAGGCAGTTCCAAAGCTATGGATCTGGTGGTGAGCACACCATCTCCCGTTCTCATCATTACCATTGCAATCTTTAAATGTCTTGATACTCTCACAAACCTCTTCGGAAAGGTAAATCTGTTTGCAAATCACTTGTAAAGTCAAAATGCATGCACTTCATAGTCTGTATTTTGCCTGCCTCATTGTCCAGAGCTACTGTAAGGAAAGTGGGTTTTTAAAATTTGTTTTACAAGAGGGTAGAAAACTCATTCAAGCAACAGTACACAGTGTTTTCTTAAGGCAAGCAGATGTTTTGTAAAAGTTAAGGAATGGCAGAACTCATGAATGAGAATAACCAGTGCTGAGAATAACAGATTAAAAAATAAGACCAGAAGGCAACAGGAGCTGGATTTTTCATTTTGCAGGAAATTAGGCAATTTTAAAATTTTGTATTCCAAAATAGAACCGAAATATTTAAATTTTCCTCAAAACAAAAATTCCTAAGCCTTCATTTTGGATTGGTTTACATGTTTATCAAAATATTTTGTTCGATTTTGACTAAGTTTTTTATTATAGGGCATTTTTTTTTCTAAATTTAGTTGGAATCTACAAAGGGAATATCACTTGAACAACATTTAGCTCTCAACAAATTGATATTGATGGTAAAGCACTCTTCTAACCAGTTCTACAAAATGGCTTAATGGAAGTTGAAGCTAAATAAATCAGTGATTTAACTTCTCCTCTCCCTCTGTAAATTCAGTACAGGTACATCTAGACTACCTTTGAATTTCGAAGGAGGATATGCAAATCTCACATAATTTGCATATCTTCTTCCAATCGCATTTTCAAAAGAGGATCTTTCAAAAGTGAAAGTAGTTTGGACACGGGGAGGGGAGAGTTGGGGAAAAAAAAACTTTCGAAAAACCCGTTTTCTTAAAAGAAAAAAAAAAGTGGCTTAGGTGGCTTTTCTCCCAAAAAAAAACACACCCAGACTACTTTCACTTTCGAAAGATCCTCTTTCGAAAATGCGATTGGAAGAAGATATTCAGATACTTAGTGTATTGACCTCTCTGCTTCTCCACATTGTGAAGAAGAACTGTGTCTAGATTTCAAGGCAAATTGGACTGCTCATTTTCAGAGGAAACAACCTTCTACTGGAAATATACAAGTTGGCCAACAGGTAATATGTTAAACTAGCAGTAACTTCTGTTCTTAATCACATGTATAGAGTGTCTGAATTACAACATAGGATAAATGGACCAGCTACCCTCCCCCACAAACCAAACTAAGCGTTAACATTGAAAGTAAACCAACCCTGTTGGAAATAAGTAAAATACACATTGAGAATGATTTAGGGTTTTTTTAACTGTTTTTCTAAAATGATCAATTTTTATTGCAAAAACATTTTGAATGACAAAAATCAGTTCCCCACTCCCTCAAGTTCATAGCTTCATTCAGGAAACTCAAAATGAGTACAAATGACCTTAGGCAATATACAAAAAGTGTTTAAAACCACAGTCCTGAGTGAATCTAATTTCTCCTTCCCCACTACAAAAAGCTTTAGTTTTAAAATTCTTTTCTATACAGTGAGCAAGTACCTTGCCTTCTACATAAAAAAAAAAATACAGTTAGAACCTGAATCCTTCAAAAACATTTAGAAAGTAAGTTTTTCTTTACAAACAATTTTATAATTCCCTCCCATCATGACTGTCATGAATTACTGTCCATCTTACTTATTGAAGCTGTTTGGTATCTAATAGCATCTAATGGCTAGGATAGATAGTTTAACTTCTTAATTAAAACTGCAACTACTGCCAAAGACAATACATTCCAACTTTGTCAATATGTTTTTAGAGAAGATGTCCTCTTAAGTCTTTATCGTTCCTTTATCACTCTACAAAACACTCGTTTTTTTTCCTTTTCAAGTTAGTATAGCCCACACCCAAATCATGAATACAATGTATTTTGGGAGGAAAAGCTTCAGACATGTAATATTTCTGTGTATGAAGCTTTTCCTCCCAAAATACATTGTATTCATGATTTGGGTATGGGCTATACTAACTAAAGAAAGTTTAGATTACTCAAACTCAAAAATAATGCATTCATTTGTGTATAACAAAGGCCAGGTTTGTTACAGCTTCTGAGAACAACCCTATTTACTGTATGGCAGCTACCTTTATTTAAGATAAAAAAATTGTGCTCACATTAGTAAACTAGATTACTGGCACACATAGTCTACTGTTAAGAATGGCATACAGTATATAACTGGAAAGGAAATAAAGTGCTTAAGTAGTTTGTAGTTAGTGAGGCATCATTTCCCTGGCTGTTGTAGAAAAGACTGCCTTTAATTATACTCTAATCCAGTCATGCCTACTACCTCCTCTTTCCTTCAGTTCTGTTTTACTTGTTAACAGTATACTGTTTTGCATTAGTATCTGAACTCTTGTTCTGGGTTTGTTCAAGTAATAAAAAGAGAACTCTGGAACAAGAGTTACAGGCTGCAAGCTCCTTTTGTTTTTTCATGTTTGACACCTTGGACTATGGCAGATAGGTTACCTTCAGTACCAAGATCCAAATCCCTGCAACCTGCCCACTTTCAGCAACTAGGATTTACAAGTGGAGTCAAGGACAGAACCTCAGTGGTAGCTGAGAGTGTGTGTGGTACTAATAGTTTTAAAAACAGCCTGCTGGAGAACTATTTCTGATAAATGGTGTGGTGGACTTTGCACACTTTAAACGCCTGCTTCAACAGGCACCTTGGAGTAACAAGCAGAGGCCAGGGCTCCCAAAGATATCCCACTGGCACAGGGAGGTATTGTATGTTTGTTTACCACAATGAATACATTCAACAATAACAGTGGCAATAAAGTTTTATGTTATGCATAATATAACTACAGTGTGTTCAATAGAGTCCTATATAAAAATGTCTTTTAAATGCTGTGTTGGACAGGTGAAGGAAAGAATACACATGGCACACCATTTTAGGCCTTCCCTCAAACAGCAGTAACTGCAAGACAATTTGATAGAAACCTACTAAATGAGTTGTACAACCTAATCCACACCACCTTGCTAGTTTGTGAGTTCAGGTCTAACCTCTTAGAAGTTACCTCCAATGGGAACCACGCTATTCTTTTGTGGTTGAGAGAGAGATAATTAACATGAGGAGAAAAAAGCTATCCAAAAGCCGTGTAGTTTGAAAGGGTCAGGTCAACTATTCAAGCCTTTGTGGTTATAAGGACTAAAGTTATAAGTACCATTTACTGGGGACAGATCAGTCTAAGTTAGCATCTGAAGCACAGTAGGGATTCAAAATATGATCCTAGAACTACTCCCTCTCCTCTTTGTTCATATCATTGTTATGACTGTACAACTTAATTAGCTAGCAATAAAAGCAAGCAGTTAAGAATTTAAAACAGTAAAAAAAATTCACAGAAGTCAGAACTGCCTTAACCTTTGTAAGAAGCAAAGTATCATTTTAACCGTTAAAGTATAGTACTAAAACTTCACAAATGATATGGGACCCTTTTTAAACCTGGACATGGCAATCAAGCAGTCTAGCTTCACCTGGATCTCTGATTGGATTTGCAAGTGATTGAGTCGAATCCAGTGTACTTCTGTTCACAGCTTTTGTGGCTTCTCTACACCTTGTTCAGATAGGTGGTTCTTCATGTTCAAATCTTCAGAATTTTGGACTAATGCAGGAGGAAAAAAGTGAAATTCTTAATACAGTGTAAATTGGAATACCTGACATTAAAATGTCCATTTGTAAGAGATGGAACACAGAGAGATATTATAGTTCTTACTGACAGGATTGTGTCATTGTAAAATAGTGCAATATCAAAAGTATGCCGTTCCAGGTTTGTTCTTACATATATATGATGAAACTCTGCTGAGTCTGATTCTCTCCCCTCTCATGAAAATGGAGAGTAACTTCACGGCAATCATAGTGCATTAGAATAAATCTGGTGACAGCACACTCCGGTCCCAGTTATATTCAAAGCAATCACAACGGCATCAGTTAACTGAATAGAAAGCCAGCTAGCTTAATCCCAGTTATAAAAGTAATCTTAACATTTAGTATTCTGCATACAAGAGGATTAAAAAAAGTCCCTCAAGTTTTTACCATACAAGTCATTGTCAGCCAGCGCAGCTTGCTTGTCAGTTTCAGATTCCGCCTCATTCTCATCTAAGTTGTAGTCAACTGCTACATTGTTCTGGTTCACTGCTTCAGCTCTCTGTTTATCTATAAAGATATTTAGTTTTGTTAGTTATTGGCTAAAAACTTTCTAGTTGCAATAGAGTGCTGTTTAGATATATCGTCTCCCCCATTCTCACACTATAAACAGGTAGAATTTAAATATTTGAAATTTGATTTCCCTGTGCACAGAGTTAGTTCTCAGCTATCCACTTTCAGAACTAAGTTTGCTATAACCTTTGTATATATAAAGCTTGACAACAGAAAGAGATGTAGGGATGGAAGGTACCTTCAAGAGCTCATCTAGTCCAGCCTTGGTGTAGGCAAAATTAACACCATGCCTGACAAATTTGTCTAATCTGTTCTTTAAAAAGCTCCAAATGACAAGTATCCATTTTCTTCCTAAGTAACCTGCTCCAGTACTTAACTAGCCTTACAGAAATTAAATATTAGTAAAAACATTTTTAACTCCCTTGCTGCAAATCAGTACAACAAATAGATTTGATTTCCTGTATCCCAGGATGCTGAGAGCAAGTGTTAGCAAAAGGTTACTGAAAGAAATGTTAAATGCCAACCAAAAGAGAAGAAACTCAATACAAATGGCAGCAGCTACTAATGGTGTGTTCAAAAGAAGGATGAAGAACAAGACTTCAGGTTTCACAATGATAGTCCACATATGGCAGCCTTGCAAGCCTGTCCAAAGACACAGGACCAATACAACTAATTTGATAGATAAGTAACAATATTAGTTTTATTTTTGTGAGTATGGGCAAGGACATTTTGTGCATATGCAGGTAAATTTTCATGACAGTTCTGAAAGGCTTGATATGAATAGCAAGTATTGTATGTAAAGTTAGCCTAACTACATATATCCTGTTCAAGGAGCATGAAAGATTTAATAAAGTTCAAAAAAATAATCTTAGGCTTCTTGCTTTGACTTTGCTTTATCTGCCAAGGAATATACTCTAGTATCACGGTGTCCAACACGCTAGCCACATGTGGCTATATGGCCAGTTGAGTGTGGATAGTTGGCTTGAACAATGTGGCTGTTTGGTTGGTTCAGTGAAGCTAGTTTTCTATAGCAGTAGCCTCTATAGTGGCTACTACTTCAGAACTAGTTGGACTATGGCTCTAGTAGCTGGAAAGCACAGGACTAGTTTTGAGCAAAACTGGGAGTAGATAATTCTTTTTCATTTTGCTACAGTCAGACAGTCTTCATATTCTGATCTGTGTGAACTCTTCTTTACTATCCCTCTTGTCTGTGTACTTTTGATTTTTACTCTACATGAAATTCCAGATATAATGCTGTCACTAAGACTGCACCACTATCAGAGCAGCTAGAAGTGTTGATGTGTTTATAGAGCCTTAGGGCTGCCAAATTAGTCCTAGCCCTTTCACCTGAAGTCTGTGGATGTATTTTGGATTTTTTTTGGGGGGGGGGGGTTAAATAAAATTGGAGGTCTCTGTACTATAAGTGGTAAAGTACTGCAGTATATACTAAAGAAAGCCTTTGCAGTACTGAGTCCCATAAGTGAAGAATGTTTCTTCACTATGCATTGAAGATTAAGATGAACCAATGCATAGAAAAAAAATCTATATAAAATATTTTTCTTTTGGAAAAGAAAAAGCATTTGTACCTCCAAAGTGTATGAAAATACACACACAATTTATGGCTGCAACTTTGGTACCCTGTTCATTGCTCTCTTTCAAGATTGCATGTGATTAATTTGCATAGTGATGACAGGTTATTCTCACATTTTCTGTAGTGCAGTTACTTCTTGCACCTTTTGGCATTGTAGACTGTTGCTTTGGAATTGAACAGAGGAAATTTGAAAGATAATCATCTTAAGGCATCTGATTTAAATTTTTATATACACATGCTTATTAACACTAAAAATGTAGTTGCATTTGAGTGTTACTATAAGGCCCTGTCCACACTAGAATTTTTTTCTAGTATTGTAATGTCAGTGAGGGGAATGGTTGTCTTTTTTTAATTACATTTCTATATCAACTTAGTACAGGGGTGGAGAACCTTTTTTGGGTTAGGGGCCACTGAGCCACAGAAAAATCAGTTGGGGGCCACATGTAAGTGAGAAGCAAAAAAGATTGTGTACTCCAGTCCTGTGGGGGGCGGGGGAGAAGAGGGCTGGAGCACCAGTGCAAGTGCCCCAATACATGTGGGGGAGCCCAGCTTTAGGAGCCACATCTGGTCCCTAGGTTCCCCACCCCGTCTTAGTATATATGTCAGGATGCAAGTGTTTTTGGTGGTATAGCTTATTTTGGCCAGGAAATGTTAGAAACTATATTCAGCAAAAGCTGTATCAACACTCGAAAAATGTCAGCTACACAGAATTACTAGCAAACCTTTTCTGTTGTAGTATTGGGCTATAATGGAAGCCAAAGATGCATGTCTGCTTAATTACATTAGTTTAAACGTTTCATCCTTTCATCTTTCAGCCTAATCGTGCAAGATTCTGAATGTATCAATAGAAGCCAAGGGCATGCACTATCTACAGGAGAGTCAATGCTTCATAGAATCAAACCTATATAGAAAGGGCAGAGAGCCTAAGGACAGCTAGTAGACAGGCAGGAGAAATGGAATGATCTGCCTAGTAAACACTGAGCAGTGAACTGAAGTATAATGGCTCTAGTTCACAAGGTGTGAAGTAAGAGAGTAAATTCAAGCTGAATGGTCTCCAGGAACATATATTATAGTGCAAGTCTGCCATGGTCAGATCCATAATAAATATTACTATTTAAAAGAATTTCCCATTAAAAACAGCATTTTTTTGTCAAACAAACATTCCACCCCTCCCTGCAGATATATTTTAATAGATCCAATCTTACTAGAAATTCTCACGAGGCATCTGCTATCAATGGACTTGCTCGTGTAGATAAGAGCAAAACTTGTCCCAACATCAGTTCTAAACTGGCAGGACTGCTGATTCCAATGGAGATGACCCAAATTACAGCAAACAAGCAGAAGAGCTGGAAACAAAGTCCAGCTTTCACCCAAAGCATTTCTCTCTCACTAGGGACATGAAGGACTAGTCGACTAGTCCCCCCCCCCCCCCCCCCATCAGATAGAGGCAGCAAGGGGAGGGGGAGAAGAGAGGGGTTCTTCAAAGCAGCAGTCCCTCCCCCTCCATCCCAACCCCCGCAGCCTCAGCTTCCCTCTCCCCCATGCTTTGGTGGCATGCTCACTGCACTGCCAGCCCCGACTGCTTTGGGCAACATGGCTGTAGAGTGAGGGCAAGGAGCTCTGGGCAGCAGGAAGCAAGGGGTCCCAGAGGGCAGGGCAGTTGGGAAGTGCAGATAGAGGACAGAAGCTAGATAACTGGATCCAGCTGCAATTGATCTGCACCTAGATAGCTTGAATGAATCTTTGTACTAACCATCCTGACTGGGCTCCTGGTCATCTGGCTGAGCATCATAATTTAAGAGGTGCTCCCTTTCTATTTCTTCATTTGGAAAATGTTCTTGATTGACAGCATGACCTGCAGATGGTTCTTGCATTTCGACAGACTCCCTTTGTGTATCTCCTTCTTTAAGAACATTTACCCCCTCATATGGATTTGGTTCCTTTCCTGGTTTAGGAGGCAATTCTTCATGATCCATGACACTCTTAGCTGAATCATGTGGGGGTCCTTGATCAACAGAAAGCTTCTCATCTTTTATAAGGTCCTTTTGGTTCACCACATCCAGATCAAGCATCCCTTCTGTAAAGCAATGAGCAGTAAGAAGTCTAGCTGTAGCAAAACTTTAAAAGCTAAGATAGGATCAATTACCCTCTGCCCAGCCCACCCAAGTTCATTTTTTTCCTTTGTAGGCACATCTCTAAGCTGCATCAACTCTAAAGAACGTATATGCATAAATCAGGGAAGTTAAAGGCACTATTAGAAACCACTGCAGGATTTGCATTTCATAAAGACTTTAAGATCTACAGTGTGTTTGTTTTATTATACATGGGGGGGGGGAAATCTGATCTCACTATAACCTTAAAGTGAATCAATTAGTAATTGGACATACAAAGTACAATTATTTAAATGCAGAGTACTAATGTTCTATGTAAATGCCCTTTTCTCTCAGCATTAAAAGTATAAAAAAAATGTATTTTCTATTGGGGGGGTGTATGCACTTCTGTGTTAGCAATACAACTGACTTGCTCTTCAACACAAAGACAACCTACAACAAGGGTTGACCAGATGTGATATCTACAACTAGCCTGTAGCTGCGTCAAGCCTGTCAACAGGGGGGGGCAAAGAGGGAAATTGCCTTAGGGCTGGGCAATTCTAAAGTGCTTGGGGCTCCCAACTGCCCCCTTTGCTACTGCAGCAGGTATGGAGGCCAGAGCCCAGACCCTTTAGAATTGCTTCTGGAAAATCACCTAGCATGCTTCAGAGCCCCTAACACATGCTCTGACTTTGCTTTGAGGGCCCACAAGAAGGAAGGGAGGAGCCAGCGGTAGCAATGGGTGGAACAGACCCAGGCAAGCCCAGGTGCCCCTCTCGCTGGCTGGAGGGCCAGGTGGGCTGGCAGGGGATAGGTGGGTCACAGCCCACTCAGGCCCACCCATACCTATGTCCCTGGTTCCAATGCTGAGCCCCAGTCCTCTGTGGATCTAGCCCCTACTACTTTAACATGCGCTTCAGCCAACTGAAGTATTTTAATTAAAAAAAACATAGTCATTAGCTATTAAATATAAAACTTTCAATAAACATGGAAAAAGCTGCTGAACTAAGTGATACTCATTATTAAATTAAAATTCAATATATTCAAACCCATTTCTCACCTCTGTTGATATTAAGGTATTAGTGATGTAATTAGCCGATCTTACCTTTGTCTCCATGAGATTCAATCTTTGGTTCCTTTTTTACACTGAATGTTGGCTTTGATATTTCTAGAGATTCATTTCCAGGAATTTTGTCCTCTTTTTGTTCCTCATCTCCTTTCTCTGCTTCCAGGTCATGCAGTTGAAGCTCTGGTCGATTAGAAGTTGACAGCTGAATATTATCCTTAAAAACATATACAAACATAGGTGATTTGTCTATCCAAATGCTCATTCCTAGGATCAGATTTATCTCTTCTTTTTTAATTCTAACTAAAGGGATGGTCTAGACAGTATTTGGTCCTGCCATGAGGGCAGGGGACAGGACTTGTTGACCTCTCGAGGTCCCTTCCAGTCCTAGTATTCTGATTCTATGATTAAAGAAATCTAAATGCATCACAAACCAATTCAAGAAATAGACTTGAATTGAATTAAAGTAAAACACAACCCAGATAAACTACACAGCACAATTTGCACATAGATCACACAAAAACGGTTTGATATAATGCCTCTTCTGGTATTACCACTCAATACCATCTGCTTCTGTAGTTGCTATACATACTGCATAGGTGCTATTGTTCTCCGAGTGTGACATCCCTCTGGTGCACCAAGAAATAGCTGTGTGCACAGAACAGAGAGAGTGTACCAGCTGCTAGGCTGGGGCTGAAGAAGCTAGACTTATTTTTCCTCAAGGGAAGGCTCAGCTTTCCATAAGCTAATTCACTAATTGTTGTTTTTTAAGTTTATTTTAATTTAGATAGATTAGTTTAACTTGTATTGTTAACTATAATCAATGCACATATTTTTGTTGTTTGTCATAATGCCTGATCACAAATGTATCCAAGTCTTATTCCCGAGAGCAGAGGAGTGGCCAACAGGGACATCTTGTAAAACCCTAAATGCCATCTGCTTTGAAGAAAAAAAAAAAGTGTTGCAATTCTTTCCTCCATTTCAGTGCTTGTGTATTTGTACCATCTGCTTTATCACAACTGTTGACAAATGAAAGTCACAATACCACCTTAAGAGTGACCCCCTCCACCTCTCCAGGACTGTTCACAAAGGGAGCTGGCAGCTACCAAGTGTTGTTTTAGTACAACCAATGCTTTCCAAAATCATAGATACCACTTTGGCTATCCTAGATGCTATAGCATGAGTGTTCACTGATACAGGGACTGTGCACAATCAACCACACATAGCCGACACCAGCATCAGATGACAAGGTGAGTCAGTCACAAAAAATGTCAACTATGCTCCAAATGTGGTATGCAGAATACGGACTAGTCCACTGTGTTTGAATCTTCAGGGGGCACTCTCAAGTCTCAGATAAAATAGCTTCAGGTGAAAGAAGGAAGCTGGCAGCCTCTATAAAGAAAAACACTCTGGTCCCTCAATTCAGGAGTGCAGGAAAACAAACAACTGGCTGGCTCTAATGGGGCACGCACCAAGAAAGACCAGTATATAAGCAATTACTCCAGGATTATGAGAACCAAAATTCAGTTAATCAGGCTTCTTCTGTGATGGAATAGAACTAGGCTAAACATAGTATCAAGAAAATGGCGTAACAGTGAGATCTGTTAAACTGTCTTAAGTCTCCCCCAGCTAAGCAAAGCAAGTTGTCATCACTGATTAATTTAAAAGTGATCTAACACTAGAATACTAGAGCATACACCAGGAAACCTTGACTCTACTGATCTGCTTAAAGTTTAATGGCTGTGAAAGAATATCAGCTTAAAGCTGCCACTTTAGAAATTCAGCCATTGAAATATTAGGAGCAACAAACCTTGAGCATTTTACTGGCTAAGCTAGTTTGCTTTTACAGTACAAGCATAAAACTGAGCAGCACTTAGGAGTTTCTGCTGTACTATATCAACTTGAAAAACTTCATTACACCCAAGTTATTTTTTCTATTTGTTTTCAATGTGTGCAGGAGAGGAACAATTCTACATATGCTCAAAGAATTCTGCTTGAATTCTGCAAGCCCCTCTATTGCTTACTTCCCCTCCCCTGAAGCTCATCTGCTGGCTACAAAGCCAGGGCTAGAGGAGCTATGTGAAGCCTATCTGCCCAATCAGGACACAATTGAGGGTGTCTGTCCCTGGAGTGAGGAACCAGAGAAAGGATGAGAGGGCAGGCTGGGCAGTTACTGACAAGATCCCTCCTCCAGCTTCAGCTGCTCTTCCAGCCCTCCCCAATCACAGTTATTGCAGTAACTTTTGAACTTTAGTGTTGGACACTGCACAGGTCTCCTTTCAACTGGGCTCACTGGTTAAAAACTGGATACCTGGCAACTAAGTAAGCTTCATTCAAATAACAGGTGTCAAGCTGCAGTTTCCTCCTTTACGATCAAACTTTGACAGTACAAGCTTAACAGGGTGGTCTAGTACATTGTAACAGGAAAAAAAATCATGAGCTACTGCTGCTGTTTTAAGGATCGAAGAGTAGAACCTGAGAAAGACAGCAAGATAACTCAACTCCATTAACAGCTTAAATAAAGGTACAACTGACTTTCTGGGAGGGGAAGGTTAAAAAAGACAGCCAACCAATAAAATGACTTACCTGGTCATTTTTGTTGGAATTTTTCAATAAGTCTTTGATGTCCTTGGCCTGCGGTGCCTCACTGTCTTTTTTTGTAATCTCATGTATCTTTTCTTCACATTGTTCTTTTAACTCTTTCATCTGATTGATGCACTGGGACCTCAAGGAAAAGAACAAGTAGTTTTAGAGGTACTATCATCCCAACATCTCTAATTGACACACCTTTCTACATGCCGCGGTCCCCCCGTCCGGGTCCTCCGCGGCTTTGCTCCACATCTCCCTGGTCTGCTGGGGGAGGTCCCCCCCAGCAGACCAGGGAGACGCGGAGCAGCTTTTCTCGCCCCGGAGGACACGGGCGGCGGGACCACAGCGCGTCTGGGCGGTCCCGCCGCCCGCGTCCTCCGGGGTGAGAAAAGCCCCGTTCGTAAGTACGGATCCGACTTACATCGGATCCCTACTTACAAACGGGGTGAGGCAACCCCGCACTAGCTGATTCCCCCCAGCAGACCAGGGAGATGCGAAGCTAGCGCCCCCCACAGCAGACCAGGGAGACGCGGAGCAGATTTTCTCAGCAGACACCTCAGCTTAAGAATAAAGGACTGAGGGAAATGAGGCGTGGGAGAATAGAACTGAGCTCTGGAGAAATGTTTGGCTAGAGTTTCCCCTACAATATGTACCAGTTCCGACTTACATACAAATTCAACTTAAGAACAAACCTACAGTCCCTATCTTGTACGTAACCCGGGGACTGCCTGTACTTTGAAATGTGTAATTTCCCCTCTCCATCTTGAGAAGTCACATGCCAGCTGAGCCATTTGCAACAAAGCTTTCTTTCTCTTTTAAAAAAGTGTTCATGTCTATTTTCTTGGCACTTGTTATACTGGCATTTCAGTAAAGAACTAAGAAAAATATTTTCAGAAATGAGGCACATTTTGAAAGAACATTGTTTTTTCGAATGGTAATTTATATCAACTACCCAATACTTTTGAACAGACCCTGTTATATTAATTTAAATGAAGTAAACAAACTTAAAGGTGTTTATATAACCCCTCACTAGCTTTTTCCACATGTCTGGGGGCATCAATGTGCCTCAAACTCACCTGGAAAAGATCCAACTCAAATTCAGTCCTCATGGACTGCTCAACAATTGATCCCTCTGACAAATACTAAATAATATGCACCCATTACAGTAGCATGTTTGTGATACAGAGAGCTTCCCTGTTCACTAGAAACTAGAGTGAGATCATCAATTTATTTCACATATTACAACCTGGTGGCTGGTGTCCCAATTTTCACTTTAACTAGAGCTGCAGAGATTGACTTATTGAACTCATCTTAAGAAAAGCAAATTAAGTTAAGAGAATATGCAACTGAACATTCATATAAGAATTCAAAACAACAAGTCTGGGTGTTCTGTTCCAATTGGAAGTAGAAATTGATTAAATCTGATTTTTTAAAATTTAATCTTGTTTATGTACAAGGAATGTACAAAGTCCTGCTTTGTCGAACACTAGAGGAACCAAGCACAAAAGACACAAGTCTCTTAATATATATACACACAGCCTCTTTGGCCAACACCAGACTCAAAACCAAAAGCTCACCATAACTTTTTCTTGGTTTTTCCACTTTTTGCTTCTGTCTCTTTTTTTCTTGTTGCCTCTCAGTTTGTGTATGTTCTGCCGTTCCTCACACCCACACTCAGAATATCAAAGGGAACCCTCCCCCATACTAGGCAGAGTCTGGTTAGGCCTTTTTTTAAGAAACACAGGGCTCCATACTGTTTCTTACTATTATAAGAGATGGGTGAGTTGGAATGAGGTTTAAACCTCAACCCCTAACAAGATTTCACCCAACTCCTGACATTACTATTGCTCCCTATACCACCACAGATGCTTTCCTTTGTGGAAGAGGAAGAGGAAAGAACAGAGGAGGAGTTTATCATATGTGAAAGTAGTTGCATTCCCATCAAGGTGAAAGGTGAGCTGATCATGACTAATTAATTCCAAGAGGAGGAAATGGGAGTCACTGTACTGAATAAGGAACATTTTAACTTGTTGCCAGTATGCAGCAATGCAGACAACAAAGATTCTTTCATGCTCTGGGCATGAAATCACCTTTCTGAATTTTTGTGTGCTAAAAACAAGAACTGTTACAAGATCTTATACTCTTAACCTTAGATGTAACAAATTCTTCTGAATTACTAGAGTGTACATAGGTTTTAATGAACTGTTTCCTTCCTAAAAGCAATAAAACATTTCCCATGCGATTCATAACAAAATCTGTTGGAGACTACTATAACATTGAAAAGAAATCAATTATTTTCTTATTTAATGTGCACAATTCAGTACTACAGCAATGCTGTCTGTATTGGAACATCTGTTTTTTTAAACAAGACTCTTTATAATTGATCATGCTTCAGAGTCATTGCTGAACTATATTTGACTTCTAATTTTAAATCATTTTATGGTATCGAATGATACCACTCCTCTTTTTCCTACAAAACCCTGCTCACTAAACTTAAACTGTACTCAGAAAGCATTAGCAGTTCTCAATGGCAGCCATGTAGTCACAGTGAAACTACCCTTCTTCTAGTTACCACCACCTCATCTTTTTTTCCATTAACACACATTATAGAGCACATTATGAAACAATTGGTTTTATTGCTCTTAAAATGAATTAGAAGATATTATTTTTTCCTTAAAAGTAAACAACATTGAGAAGATCTTTTTTATGTTTTCCAACAAAATAATTACTTCTTCAAGAGGCTCGACACACGAAGAAGACAGAAAATGATCATTCCTAAACCTTTAGAATGCCTATGTCACAAGTTCTTTCTCCTCTCTATATATACACACATTTTAAAAGTGTGACCTGCCCTTTAATGAGCAGACTGGATGGTCTTCTCTGCCTCCAGTCCTACATCTAGCATCAGATTGTACAGCAGAGGCTCAGAAGACACAATTCTGTCCTCCCCTTCCACATCTTCAAACATGCAAACAGGATTGATTTGGCCATCAGTTGGCTTCAACACATTTAGAAAACCAGGTTACATATAGAGGGCCCACAAGGTTTCCATTTCATAAGGTCAACAGTTGCCTAGGTAATAGGGTGAGTCACTAGGAAGTCAGTTGTTCTACAGTTTAAACAAAGTCTACAGTGTTTACTAACAGATCACCTGTCTTTGTCTAATGTTCATTTAATAATAGAGACGTCACTTTTGAACTTTACAAGAAACAAGGTTAAACGTTTTACAGATATTTTCATTTGAGGCCACCAGTTCACCGTTCTCACTCCAGAGAACTTGTGCTGAAGGTTAACACCCATATTTAACACGCAGTTCAAAATAAACTAGATTAAGCCAAGTAATATGTAGCTATTTTAAAGGTAGCTCAAATCTGGGGACTAATCTGTTGCAGAAGAAAGTGCTCCACATACTAAGTATCAATTCACAAGCCACAATTTACAAATGCATTGTGTACAATCAGCAGAAAGGAACAAGACGGAGACTAATCACTCCAAAGCAGGAAAAATTGTTATTGATTTAAAGTTTGTATAAGAACAGGCCTTTGTTATAGTACCATTTTTTTTCTTGGTAACAGATGTCAAGATTTATCAGAAACCAAACTAAGCTATTGTTTATATAGGGCCTGGCTATTTCATTCCACTGCTACGGAAATACCAATCCAACCAGTATAGGAAACAAGTTAACTTGCTACTAACTAAGCAGAAATTCATAATAATTATATGAAGCAAGCAAAGATAGTTGCATGGCTCATCCTTCACAAGATTCAGAGAAAGAAAAAAATCAATATTATCATAAAAGGGGAAAAAAGCCAACCCATATTTATTACAGGAAATAATATTTTCAAATAGCTTCCATAGGAGGAAATAACAACTAGTGAGTACACAAAAGTTTAAAAAGATAATTGGTGTTCTTATCAGTGTCCCTGCACGTATACTTTGTTATTCACAACTTACAATGCTGCGGAAGTACCTATTTCTATTGCTGTTCAGTGCATAGTAAAATCAACACCAAAATCATGGCTTCGATTCTGGCAGATATTCACCTACCTCAAATTTATCACAAGAAATTCTTCAAAACTTCCATCATATTTAAGTCAATAAGGACTTTCCAGTACATTAAATCCTATATAATTTACTGAGATTACAATTTAGCTCCAGAAAACATTTTTGGCTTGCACCACAAGAGCTTGAAAGATTTGTGGTTTTCCCCTGAAGATCAATAGAAAGCAAAGTGGAAGGACATCAACTGCCCAAATGAACACCCAACGACCCAGCTGAAGGACCCAGTGCCCAGTGTCACTCTCATTGAAAACAAGTCCATTTTTAATCACATCCACACATCACATGGTAGACACTCCTACCTTCTCCATAAACTGGAACTAAGACACAATCCTATTTCTAACTATAGAAACTGACCGAACTATGGATCACCTCATCAATTAGTGTCCCAAAAAATCCACGACTCAGTGGTATTTCAGTTCATAGGCGCTGACTCCATGGGTGCTCCAGAGCTGGAGAAATGCCTGTTAAGTGCTCCAATACTATGGTGATGGGGGTCACAAATACAAATAAGCAGAAACTAATTAGGACCATATTTGGTATACTGTTTTCCTTTTCAAACAAACAATGCTGTCAAGTCTCAAAATATCTACTAGCAGCATTATGTTAAAATGATAACTATGAGGAAAAGTACAGAATTCAAGTATAGATTTCAAAAGGATAATTAGACTTCTGACCTGTCATTCTGTAAGTTATACATTTAAAAGAGCAAACTTACATCTCATAGGAAAATTTCTTCTGAAGATTAGTCTGGTTTTTCTGAAACTGATTCACATCCTGTTGTAGCTTTCCATATTCGTTCTGTAACTTTATCAAGTGTTCTGGGTGGGAAAAAAGGATTATTATTTTAATGAAATATTTTAAACAAATCCCTCCCTCCAAAATCAGATACACAACTTTGATAGCGAGAAAGTTCCATTGGCTTCTTTCCTCAGTCTCCCAAATTCATGATGCTTTGGCAGGCTAAATACATAGTCACATTGTGGCACCCGCTGAGCAACAAAAACACAGAGAACATAGGAGAGTTTTCAGTCTAATAAAGCTCTATTCTCTACCTCCCCTATACAAAGGAGAACTCTAATCCATCTACGTTCTCTGGCTGCTCTTAGAATCATAGAATCATAGAATAATAGGACTGGAAGGGACCTCGAGAGGTCATCGAGTCCAGCCCCCCGCCCTCAAGGCAGGATCAAGCTCCGTCTACACCATCCCTGACAGATGTCTATCTAACCTGTTCTTAAATATCTCCAGAGAGGGAGATTCCACCACCTCCCTTGGCAATTTATTCCAATATTTGACCACCCTGACAGTTAGGAATTTTTTCCTAATGTCCAATCTAAACCTCCCCTGCTGCACTTTAAGCCCATAGTCTTCTCTTGGCCTGCAATCTAGAAGACTAGAGGTCACTGAAGGACTCGTCACTATAGTGCAGGCTACAATGGTAAATTTTTCTACTGCTTATCTAAATTCAAGTTTACAAGCCCTCCTCTGTAATACAGTTTACAGTTCACAAATCAGGACTGTTTGTAAGTTAGTAGTTTTCTGTAGTAGAACCTCATCCATCATGCTGACACACCTTGAATCTTTGGTCCTGACAAAGAGCTTTGCATCAGAAAACTGAGCATATCAGAGAGATTGACAATTGTATTTACCAGAGACCTTGCCATCAATGGCCCAAATGCTAAAAGGCATAAACTCACTAGCAATGATTCTGAAAGCGTCAAAGGAGATATTAACTAGTAAGACCAAAAAATTTTTTTTCGAATGCATGTGTATGATTCCCATGGACATCAGTGCATCCATATATAAGAGTATAGAGTTTTTAGAGTTGAAAGAGGATTATACTATGTTAGTGGAAGCAGAGAAGTTGTTCAAATATAGACTATTAATATAGGAGGAGTCTGCTCTATTTAATGTTTGTTATTTTCTCCCACTTAAGATATAAGGCTGTGGTGTCCTGCACTCAAAGCCTCATGACTGGACTCTTGACTGCATGAAGCCCCACTGTATGGCTATGCATGAGCCCAGGAAAAACCTGTACAAGGTCAGGGTCTAGTTTATGGCAGTTCCTACACTTTCTCCTAGCTTTGAGAAGCAGAGGACTCACACCCAAGTAAGGGCGTAAGACTGAGACTTTGAGAAAACTGGCTTTAAGTTTGATAATTGAACTACAATAAAAGGTACCTTTTAGATTCTGGATAAATCGCTCATTTGTAGTTATGTTATTCATTAACACTGCCTGGAAAAAAAGTGATACTGTATTAAAATAATGTTGATCAAACCATTTATCTAATAACACTCAAATAATTCTTGAGAATAAAGCAAAAAATTATTTCTAAGCAATGTGATAAAAAAAAGTTATACGCCCCAACTGTATTAGCTGCAGTTGGGATCACTTGTGTTGTGCAATGGGATCAATTCCTAGATTATGAAAAAGCAAAAAAGTTATACTGTGCAAGACAAACAAAAAATCATCATTCAAAATAAAGCAAGATCACTACATCTTAAACAGGTTACTCACTTGAAGTATGAATTCAAAGAGCCAACCGCTAAATACTTGTTTACCATTACCTCCATTTCATATTAATATTATAATCACAGTGACAGAGTTAAAGTGTACTTATCAAGTGGCTCTTTAAGAAAGAAAGATTCACCCAACTGCACCCTTTCAATAATTCTTTTGAGGCAAAATGAGCAAGCCTACTTTAAGGTTGCAGGTAAAATGTGGCAGAAGAACACAGACCAACAATACAAATAAAAACTGTACCAAAAATCAGTAAATCAAGGGAGAAATGTCTTTTACTATGAAGTTTTATATTACACACCATTGCAATTAGTCCACTTCCCTGATGGATGGCACCCTCAATTCCACCTCAGGACAAATGAGGATGTAATGTGCCCTTCCAATCCCACAGCTTTAAATCTAGACACACTAAAATGGCAGTAATCCCAGGAGAGAGAAGAGAGGCAGAAATCCACATGCACATGAGTAGGGGGAAAACAACACTATCTGAAAATAGTCACAGACAAATGTGCTTCAGTGACTAATACACAGAACTTGTACAGGAAACCAGGTTAGTTTTTAAGACAGAAGAGCATGTCTGTTTACACTTATAAATCCATACATCTTCTGAAGGATCTATTCACTATGCTTAGATGTAATTTAATCAGGATTCCCATTTATTCATCCCAGGATGTACTCAGTATTTCACAGACTTCAAAGATCAGGCTACAATCAATTCCAAAAGAGGTTTTTCACAGAAACAGTGCTGCTGCCATACAGTATATAGGCTGCCTTAAATGGAAGGATCATTGCTATGCTCAAGATGGTCATTCAGTCTGTGCTAGGGATGTAAACGAGTAGTTGACTAACCAATAATCCTAGGCTTATTGGTTAATCTAGCCGACTACTTGCGTTCCTCCCCAGTTCCTGCTTTGTATCAGAGGCAGCAAGGTGGGGGGAGGCGGGGAGGAGCAAGAGCTGGTGCCAGGGGCGGGGAGCCAGTTTAAAAGCTGTCTCCGTGGTGCCACTGGATTACTATTATTGTTAATTAGTTACAATTTCAGTTCCCAAAATACCACAAGTCTTGGTTCACTGAGTGCACAGTAAAGAGACACGGAAGACAAGAAAGGCTACGTCTAAACTGACATGATTTTCATGATTTTAGACAGAAAAGTTTTCCGTTAAAAGCATTTTCGGAAAAGAGCATCTAGGTTGGCACTTTTTGCGTAAAAGCGTCCGTGCCAATCTAGACGCGCTTTTGCACAAAAAAGCCCCAATTGCCATTTTCGTGAATGGGGCTTTTTTGCGCAAAACAAATCTCAGCTGTCTACACTGGCCCTTTTGCGCAAAAGGGACTTTTGCCCGAATGGGAGCAGCATAGTATTTCCGCAAAAAGCACTGATTTCTTACAGTAGGAAATTCAAGCGGTCAGTGTAGACAACTGGCAAGTTTTTCCAGAAAAGCGGCTGATTTTCCAGAAAAACTGGCCAGTCTAGACACAGTCAAAGTGCATGGGATAGATTTACAACACAAGCCAGGGGAGATCAGGTGGAGAATAGGCATGTGTGTTATGTTTACATATCTGATAGTTACTGAAATTCATTTATTTAAATTAAATCCCAAAATTTCCCTTCCTTCATCATTCGCCACAAACACTTTCAAATCTAAGTCATGAGATTAAAACATCAGCAAGTGTACTCATTTTTTTCAAGGGTTTCAAAAGGTCACTGAACATATTTTCTCTATTATATTTCCTGTAGGCTTGTCAGTATGCTGCAGACTCATTATACATGTTTGAGCAAGAGAGCTGTGTGAAAAAAGTCTAAACCAATTTTCAAGCCAATAATGGAGCATTTAAGCCATAGTTTTTTCCACTGAACTTTAGCCTTTATTCTCTCTAGAAGTTACAGACTGTTCTCCTCAATTAAATTAAACTCTGCATGAAAAAACTCTTTGGGACACACTGAATGGTTCAGACAACTGCTAATGGAGACCAAGCACTTTACCTCTAGCTCAGTGTTTGGACTGTGGTCAAGGTTGTTGAACATTAAAAGACTACAGCTTCTGCCACCTATTCTGTATTAGGGATGTTAAATATTGGTTAACTGAACAGTCAATTAATGTCATGAATTCCTATTGGTTACTCGACTATTCTAGAATCCCCGGGGGTAGGACCAGCAGCCAATGCACTCCAGCCCCACTCCCAAAGAGCACCCTGCCACTCCAACTTTCTGCCTCTGATACAGAGGCAGCAGTGCAGGGTGCCAGACTGGAGCTGGTCTGTGAGGGGAGCCAGTTAAAAAAACAGCTTTCCTCGCCTGTTGCCTGTTGCCTCGTGCTTCAGATACAGAGGCAGCAACATGGGGTGGCATCAGCCCCTGTCTGGGGTGGGGGGATGGAGGCAGCTGAGCTCCCAGACCCAGCGCAAGCTGGAACTAATCTGGGCTGCCTGTCCTCCTGGCTCCTAATACACTTTAAATGCAGAGCTGCAGCAGGGGTAGGTCCCAGATCCAGTGAGAGCCAGGACTGAGCTGGGCTGTTGGCCCAGACTGCTAAAAAAATGTACTGGTGGGGGCGGAGGGAGGGGGAAGAAATCCATGCAGTCTACAGCATTAACCTATAAGCTTTTGCTTATCGGTTAATCAACTACACTACTACATCTCTATTATGGATGATAGCTGCCAGTGGTTTTATTTCATTTAATCTCTTATTCCAGAAGCCAACCACAGAACACATCACAAAAACCATCACCACTGCTGTCAAATGAGCCAACTATCTCAACAGAGGCACCAAGGAGACAGTGGGCATAAAGAATGATCTATCCATAAAGAATGATCTATCCAAACCTGCAGATCAGCAAAAACGCATTTGCCCGGTGTGCGTTCTCTGCAGAGACAATTTTTGTCATTGTTGCCATCAAATCTAGCACATGTATTATCTCAACATTTCAATTGCAAATACAGAAACATTTAGCAATATGAATAGAATAAAATACATTCCAGGAATCTTCACTACAGCTATGCATTGTACATTAACCCCTTTTCAGTCATCAGCCATTTTACCATACAGCGTGAAGAGGCAAAAGTTTACAACAGTATATTCTCAATCCACACATGATCTGAATTTCCATGCCTTGGAAACATATGGACTGGCCTAATAAGGGGAGTCTCACACATTGTCCATAATACAAATACATTTATGAATGTGTCCAGTTGTGGGAGAAGTGGTGGACGTGGTATATCTAGACTTTAGTAAAGCTTTTGATATGGTCTTGCATTATCTTATCAATAAAGTAGGCAAATACAACTTAAATGGGGCTACTACAAGATTGGTACATAACTGGCTGGATAACCATTCTGAGAGAAGTTATTAACTGTTCACAATCCTGCTGGAAGGGCATAAAGGTGGGGTTCCACAGAGTCTGTTTTGGGACTGGCTCTGTTCAATATCTTCATCAACGATTTAGATATTGGCATAGAGAGTACACTTATTATGTTTGCTGGTGATACCAAACTGGGAAGGGTTGCACATGCTAAATATGATCCAACAGTGTGATGCTGTTGCAAAAAAAGCAAACACAATCCTGGGATACACTAACAGGAGTGCTGTGAGCAAGACATGAGAAGTCATTCTTCCGCTCTACTATGCGCTGATTAGGCCTCAGTTGGAGTATTGTGTCCAGTTCTGGGCACCACATTTCAAGAACGATGTGGAGAAATTGGAGAAGGTCCAGAAAAGAGCAACAAGAACAACTAAAGGTCTAGAGAACATGATCTATGAAGGAAGACCAAAAGAATTGTGCTTGTTTAGTTTGGAAAGGAGAAGACTTAGAGGGGACATGATAGTAGTCTTCAGGTATCTAAAAGGGTGTCACTATGATTCTATGAACATGTGGACCATCTCTGCTGCTAATGTACTTTCCCAAAGGATGAGGTTTGAACAGAAGTTGCTTAAGGGAATATATTGAGTTTATTTTACCTTCTTCCAATTCAGTCTAGCTAAAATGCATGTCATCTACCACCTATGATCAGACCATTTGAGAAATGTTGCTTAACAAATGGTGTTTGAAGGGACAGCTGCCCATTTATTCATGAAAGAAATAAGAGCTTATTCTAAGTTAACATAAAAACAGACTGAACTTACTTTCCATATGAAAGTCCACTACTTTACTATTAAATCTATTTTAAATACAAAACTAACTGCTAGCTCTGCTGAAAAAAGTCTGAATATATTCAAAGTAATTCTGAACTGTAATTAAACTAGAAAGATCATAATCAATTAAGGCTCTGCCTGCAAATTAGTGGCTCAGCAGCACAGGTTACAATGTATAAGGATTCATCTACACTTAAGAATTGCTGTAGGTGAACTTGAGATGTTTCCTCTTAAAATTCCTTCATACACAAACAAAATGTAATGTTGTATATGACATGGTGTTTTAATGTGGGTTAGCAAACCCATTTTGGAAGCAGGTTTACTTAGATGCCAACTGAGTTTACCCATGGCAAATCATGCGTGGCTACATCACACCCCATAACAAGTGTTGTGCATTTGTCAGATCTTCATGCCAGTATCTCACTCTTTCTTGCTCCCTGGGTCAGCTGTTTCCCCTCTACAGCATCCTACCTGGATGTCACCTCACCCTTTAAAAAGCTGCATACAGCCAGATACAGATCTAAATTAATTGTACAGACAGGTACCACAGACTGTTTTTACTAGAAAGAGCTTGACCACATGTC